CACCTACAGTTCTTTGCAAGACTGCTCCCTTTTATCAATTTCTAGACTAGATCTAGAATCACTATATCAAATCAAACAGAAGTGCTAACACTCCATAATTACTATACTCAGCCCCCCAAAAAAACAATCAAGCATCTAAAAATATTGGAAAAGGATGAAAAAGCAATGAAATTCGGGATGCGTATGAGAAGCAATAGAGACATACCTAAGCTTGAATTCGAAGAAGGAATAGCCGGAGAAGAACACTTGTGCAGAGCAGAGAGGCAGAGAGTGGCCAGAAGGTTCGGAGAAAACACGTGAAATGTTTCCCGAAACCTAAACCCGGTTTTAGCCCTTGTTCATGTGAAAATTAGGGGCAAGGATGCCATTTCCTTCTTAAAGAAATGAAATTTTGGGTAGAGAAGTGAAGTAAGTGAAAAAGTGACAAATCCTCTCTTCCTTTATTATTTTCTTTTTATTAAGAAATGTAGTTCAAAGTAACAAAATAAAAGGAGAAAAGATAACTTTCTTATTTCATTAAGTGTTCAAATGTATTCCATCTCACATTTCATGCCTCTGTTTATACTGGTACATATGAAGGTTACAAAATGATTGTCTCAAACATGACATTAACAATTGAGATCATGGGGGAAGATCATGGGTAGGAGTTATGGAGGTGTGGAAGTTACAATCATAATGGTGATGAGTAGTGGGAGGTTATTTACATCATGGGTGAAAGTAGCGGGAGTAGTGGACATCTACATTTTCTAAAGATTTTATAACACTCCCCCTTGGATGTCCAAATAATAGATAATATGCCTCGTTAAAACCTTACTAAGAAAAAATCTCGTGGGAAAAAATCTTAGTAAAGGAAAAAGAGTACACATATCTGTAATACGCTTTATTTCCTGCCTCATTAAAAATCTTACCAGGAAAACTCAGCGGGACAAAACCTAGGTTAAGGGAAAAAAAGTACAGCGCATATCTTACTCCCCCTGATGAAAAATATCACTTTATTTCTCGAAGACGCCGCATTCCAATCTTCTGTCTCAACTTCTCAAATGTTAAGGTTGGTAAAGCCTTAGTGAACAGATCAGCCAAATTTTCACATGAACGAATCTGTTGAATATTAATTTCACCATTTTTTTTTTAAGATCATGCGTGAAAAAGAACTTTGGTGAAATATGCTTTGTTCTATCTCCTTTGATGTATCCTCCTTTCAGTTGAGCAATATAAACAGCATTGTCTTCATATAATGTTGTTGGATTATCCTTTTTCGTAAGAAAATCACACATTTCCTGAATATGCTGAGTCATTGATCTCAACCAAACACATTCCCGACTAGCTTCATGAATGGATATTATCTCAGCATGATTTGAAGATGTAGTAGCTATTGTTTGTTTCATTGAACGTCATGATATAGATGTACCTCCATATATAGACAAATAACATGCATCAGCATAGTCAATCGTTTCTGACTTGAATTCATTAGAATAAAACAATCACATATCTATGGTTCCCCGAAGATATCTAAATATATGGTTAACACCATTCCAATGTATTCTTGTTGGGAAGAAGCTGAATCTTGCTAATAAGTTTACTGCAAAAGCAATACCTGGTCGAGTATTATTGGCAAGATACATCAGTGCCCCAATTACACTAAGATATGGAGTTTCATCACCAACGAGCTCTTCATCATTTTCTTGAGGCCGAAATGGATCTTGATTTATATCAAGCAATCTCACAACCATTGGGGTACTCAATGAATGTGCATTATCCATGTAAAATCGCTTTAAAACTTTTTCAGTGTATGTTGATTAATGGACAAAAATTCCATTTGGTACATGCTCAATTTGTAGCCCAAGACAAAATTTTGTCTTACCAAGATCTTTCATTTCAAATTCTTTCTTCAAATATTCTACAGCTTTTGAAAGCTCTTTAGAAGTGCCAATGATATTCAAGTCATAAACATACACAACTATGATGACAAATTCATATCCAGGCCTCTTAATAAAGACACAAGGGCAAATAGGGTCATTTTTATACCCTTCCTTTAGCAAATACTCGCTAAGGCAATTGTACCACATCCTCCCTGATTGCTTCAATTCGTATAAGGATTTCTGAAACTTTATTGAACAAGTTTCTCTTGAACCTTTATGTGCTTCGGTAACTTTAAATCCTTCAGGAATTTTCATAAAAATTTCATTGTCCAGTGAGCCATATAAGTAGGTTGTGACAACATCCATCAACCGCATATCAAGCTTTTCATGGACTTCTAGATTTATTAAATACCTGAAGGTAATCGCATCTACCACAGGAGAATATGTCTTCATATAATCAATGTCAGGCCTTTGCGAAAACCCTTGTGCCACAAGTCGTGCTTTATATCTTACGACTTCACCTTTCTCATTTCATTTTCGCACAAAAACCCACTTGTACCTTACTGGCTTGACACCTTCAGGCGTTCGGACTATTGGTTCGAAAACTTTACATTTTTCGAGTGAACACAATTCCGCTTGAACTGCGTTTTTTCATTTTGGCCAATCATTTCTCTGTCTACAATCATCGACAGATTTTGACTCAAGATCCTCATCTTGTTGCATTACTTCAACTGCAACGTTATATGCAAAATTATTGTCAATAACAACATTATTTTGGTTCCATTTTTTCCCCGTAGAGACATTACTTATTGATATTTCTTCATGTTCATCATTTCCAGGTACTAGAACCTCCTGTGAGGTCTTACCAATTATTATGTCTTTATGCTCCTCTTGAGCAATTGCCTTCATGTTATGATCAATTTGATCATTTGCTCCTTTTCTTTTTCGGGGATTCTTATCCTTGGAACCGATTGGTCTACCACGTTTAAGGCGTGGCCTAGACTCATTTGCATCATCATACTGTCCATCTGGGACATCAACTCGAATTGGAGCATTTACAGCTGGAATATGCAATTTAGTAACCCGTGGAAGGGTAGTAAATGCATCTGGCAATTGATTTGTAACATTTTGCATATAAATGATCTTTTAAACTTCTTGTTCACATGAATTTGTACAAGGATCCAGATGAGATAGAGATAATACGTTCCAATCTATCTCTTTTTCCAGCTGTTTATTTTCTCCTCCTAATGTTGGAAAAACTGATTCATCAAAATAACAATCAGTAAATCTGGCTGTAAACAAATCTCCTGTCATAGGCTCCAAATATTTAATAATAGAAGGAGATTCATAACCAACATATACTCTCAACCTTCTTTGGGAATCCATCTCTGTGCATTTTGATGGAGCAATTGGAACACATACCGCACATCCAAAAATTCTTAGATGAGAAATATTTGGCTCCTGACCAAAAGTCAACTGTAATGGAGAGACTTTATGATAACTGGTTGGCCTTATACGCACAAGTGCTGCTGCATGCAAAATAGCATGTCCTTACACTAAAATAGGAAAGTTTTGTCCTTATTAACAATGGTCTAGCTATTAGTTGGAGGCGTTTAATCATGATTCTGCTAGACCATTTTGAGTATGAACATGAGCAACCGGATGCTCAACTTTTATTCCAGTGGTCATACAATAATCTATAAAGGCCTGAGATGTAAATTCACCAGCATTATCAAGACGAATTATCTTAATTGCATAATCTGGAAATTGTGCTCTTAACCTTATTATTTGGGCCAACAATCTCGCAAATGTTATATTATGAGTTGACAATAAGCACACATGTGATCATCTTGTAGATGTGTCTATCAAGACCTTAAAATACTTGAATGGTCCACATGGAGGGTGTAAAGGCCCACATATATCACCCTGTATACGTTCTAGAAATGCAGGGGATCCAATCCCAACTTTAGCTGCTGATGGTTTAATAACCAATTTTCCTTGAGAACAAGCAGAACAAGAGAATTTCTTAAATTGAAGAATCTTCTTGTTCTTCAATGTGTGCCCATTTGAATTCTCTATTATTCTGCGCATCATGTTAGAACCGGGATGGCCCAACCAGTCATGCCAAATGATAAAATCATTAGAAGTAGTAAACCTTTTGTTTACTATGGCATGCGATTCAACCACACCAATGTTTGTGTGGTACAACCCAGAAGAAAATGCAGGTAATTTTCCGTACACATATTTTTTACCCGCTTTTATTGTAGTACTATAAAGGTATTCAACCTTTCCTTTGTTTGATATCTCAACATGGTAGCCATTTTGACGAAAAGCTTTGAAACTCAACAAGTTTCTTTAAGACTTACCACAATACAATGCATTATCAATAGTTAATATCGTTCCTCCAGATAGTAATAAGGCCGCTCTTCCAGAGCCCTCAATCAACTTTGTACTACCGGATATTGTATTAACATAGGCCTTTTTCATAACCAAATAAGAGAAAAAAAATTCTCTTAATATTGTATAAGTTGTAGCACTATCCAAAAGACATAAATCTTCATTACTCATCTTGGATCCAATTGAAGACTGGGGAATTTTAATTTCTTCATAAAAAAATAAAAGTATATCATGAGAAATACGAAAAAACTAACAACAACATAAGACAACTTAAGTACTACTTGAAAATAAAAATAACATTAGACGAGACAAAAACATTAAAAATAAAAATAACAACATAATTGCATTCCCCAGTAAAATGATCAAACTTTAGTTTTTATCTCCAAAGAAATCTTCAACTTTCAAATGAGTAAGATCATCGAGGCCTTGAAAATCATCATCATTCAAAACAAGATTTGTCTCGGCATTGTCATCATTTTTATTTGAAGGCCCTGCCTCAAAATTATTTTTAAAGGTCAAGTGAGACTTCACGGGGGCATTAGCAGAAGATGCTCTAACATTATTTATCTTTCTTTTGATGGAGTTTTGATAAAGCCTGACAAAATGCTCAGGTGCACGGCATACAATTTTCCAATGATCTTTCATGACACAACGGTGACAGTTACCGCTTTTGCCTCTTGAAGGATTGTTTTGAGAACCCATATTGTTCTCTCATTTGCCATGACCACCACAATGACGACTATTTTATCGTCTCTTATCATTGTCATGCCCACGTACATTCATATGTCCATGATTATTATTCTGTCTTTTTCCAGACTTATCATGTCTAGCTGCCATATTCGCTTCAGGAAGCGGAGATGACTCTGTGGGACAGGCTTCATGATTTTTCAGCAAAAGGGTATTATGTTGCTCCGCCACCAGAAGGCATGAGATCAATTCAGAATACTTTTTAAAATCCCTTTCACGGTATTGTTGTTGTAATACCATATTTAAGGCATGAAAAGTCGTAAGAGTCTTTTCCAACAAATTCTCATCATTCATAATATCCTCACATAATTTCAATTGGGAAGTTATTCGAAATACAACAGAGTTATACTCACTTATGGTCTTAAAATCTTGCAACCATAAGTGCATCCACTCATATCGAGTCCTTGGCAATACCGTAACCTTAAGGTGATCATACCTTTCCTTCAAGCCAATCCATAATTCAAGTGGATCTTTCACTTTCAAATATTCAACCTTCAAACCTTCATCCAAATGATGACGAAGGAAAATCATGGTCTTCGCTTTGTCTTGGCTTGATGCCTCATTACCCCGAGTAGTGGTGTTACCAAGGCCTTTAGCGGCTAAGTGAATCTCAGCATCGAGAACCCATGATAGGTAATTCTTTCCAGAAATGTCAAGTGCCACAAACTCAAGCTTTGACAAATTCGACATAGTGAAAACTATCAAAGATGATAAATAATTAGAAATCATTAGGATAATAGCGTAAAGAATCTTAAAAATTGACATAATATCAAATTTGTGATCTATATACACTAAAGTGATAATTCTATAGAAAAGAATACTATTTGTTTCTTCAAATTATTCGTATATCTTTAATATTAACTAGAACAAAAATGTCTTCTAACTTTAACACAATTTCAAATGTCGAACAACGTAAAATAAGTATTCTTCTCTCAATTAATTCTATTAACATGAAAAGTAGCAACTTTCACATGACAATCATACAAATAACTTAAAATAAAGAAACATAGAATTTTTTATTTTTACATATACCTAAAGATGTGAGAAATTATAAAATTGAATATTAAAGACACTAATCATGAAATCAAAATATACAATGAAGAAAACAAAATGAACAAATATACTTGAACAACGAAAAGAGCCCAGCTTCGTGCTGATAATGTATTAAGAAACGTAGCTCAAAGTAACAATATAAAACAAGAAGATAAGTAGAACAAGAGAAGAAGAGATAACTTTCTTATTTCATCAAGTGTGTTCCATCTCACATTTCATGCCTGTATTTATTCTATTACATATGAAAGTTACAAAATGATTGTCTTAAATATGACATTAACAATTGAGATCATAGGGGAAGATCATGGGGAGGAGTTATGAAAGTGTGTGAGTTGCAATCATAATAATGATGAGTAGTGGGGGTTATTTACATCATGAGTGAAAGTAGTGGGAGTAATGAACATCCACATTTACTAAAGATTTTATAACACTTTTTTCTTTTGTGGATTAGATAGGAAGGGTCGAATTAACATTTTTTTGTACTATTTAAATTATATCTATATTTTTGGGTTTTCATGTAAATTATATATATCATCAGTTAATTATCAACTACACATCAATAACATATTTGATTTTGGTCAGTTATGTCAATTGTCTATATTAATTAATTATCAATTACATATCAATAACATATTTGATTTAGGTCGGTTATGTCAATTGTTGATATAGATTCATAATTATTAAGATTCATTTAATTATAATCATTTGCTGTTGTTTTTTTGAGCCGAGGGTCTCCTGGAAACAACCTCTCTACCCTTTGGGGTAGGGTAAGGTCTGCGTACATATTACCCTCCCCAGACCCCACTTGTGGGATTATACTGGGTCGTTGTTGTTGTTGTTGTTAATTATAATCATTAATAATTTATCTTTAAATTAAATTGAGATAGCAAAATCTTACACTTCTCTCTACGAGAATGATAACTTAATTCCAACTAGTTGTTATAGCTAATAAAGATTTTTTTGGTTCCATTTTGTTCACTTCCTTCCTAAATTTGGAAAGAGTTTATGTGATTTAAAATTTCTCTCATTTACTAGGATTGCACCTACAACACGTGTATTTGAATAGAAAAATGTGTGTGTGTGGTGGGGG